CGGGGGGTCCCTGCAGCCCCCCCCGCAGCAGGACCCCTCAGCATCCCGGGGCGGGGACACTGCGGGGGCGGAGGGACAGGGGGAAGGGGACATGGAGGCTTTTCCGGGCAGGGCACGGTCCTGCTGGGACCCGGGTCTTGCTCTCAGATGTTCCTTGGGAGCTCCTGGCCCGGGCAGAAGGGACCAGTTTTTGCTGCAGCTCCTCAGTGGGGGTTTTGCTGCAGAGCAGAAGCCCCCCCCCCCAGGAGTGCTGGGGCCGTGGAGCATCCCACTGCCCTCCCAAAAGTGTCAGGGAGCTGTTGGGGTGCCTGCTTTGGAAAGGCTGGCCTGGCTTTAGCTCCCATACACGTTGGCGTGGGAAGGACGAAGCCTTCCCTTCGTGGGGAAGCTTTTCTGGCAGGAAAAGTGCCCGGGGTTTTACAGCTGTAAAGTTCTCAGGAAGTGCCAGAGTGTGGGGCAGGCTGGGATGAGGATGAGGAGCTGCTCCCCTGCCTGCTCCCCAGCTCCCCTCACTGTGCACGGGCCAGACCCACAAGCTTCCCCCCAAAAACCAACCCAGAGCCACCTGTGCCAGGAACAGCAGGAAGGCAGGGAACCTTGGCACCGTTTACCTCGGACAAAGGAGGGAAGAGAGAGAGAACAAACAGCCCAAAGGGCCCATCACAGCCCGGGCTGGTGTTTGCACAAACGGTGGAGGCACCACCTGGGCCAGGACGCGGATCAGGACCCGGGCACTCAGCCCTGCCCCCCCAGACGGAAAGGGGCAGGGACAGCAAATGCGATGAGAAAACCAACACTTGTCCCTCGGACCTCCCCGGAGCATCCCAGCTGTGGGAGGCAGCCCCCCACGCTGCTCCCCCCTGCCGGGCAGCCCCCGGGCTGTGAGGGCAAGGAACAAACCCTGCTCCAGCAGGGATCTGCCTGGGAAGAGCCGAGCTGCTCTTTCCACGGCGTAGGCACAACTGGAGCGTGAAGGAGACAGACCCAAAAAGTGAGAGTGAAGGACGCGGCACCGGCCGGGGGTGCAGGGGAGGGGGGAGGATGCAAAGGACTGAGCAGGGGATGCTGAGCCCCACACACCGCGGGTGGAGGAGCTCAAGGGCTGAACATGGGACAAATTGCACGGGAGCAGATGGGCACGAGGGCCACGTCACCAGGCCAGGTGTTCCCATGGCCCCGGGGCTCCCACCAGGAGCCCTGACCCTCCTGAACCCCCTGGCACCTGGCCGGGTGCTTCGCAGGGTGCTCTCCCTCCCCCTGGATTATCAGCCATGAATCCCTGTCGCAGGCACCTGGAGCTTTGATGCTCCCCCAGATCTACATAAACACGCAGATACTGATGCAAAGCTGAGCACGGACAAAATACTTAACACTTAAAGCAGACCTCCCCGGAGCATCCCAGCTGTGGGAGGCAGCCCCCCACGCTGCTCCCCCCTGCCGGGCAGCCCCCGGGCTGTGAGGGCAAGGAACAAACCCTGCTCCAGCAGGGATCTGCCTGGGAAGAGCCGAGCTGCTCTTTCCACGGCGTAGGCACAACTGGAGCGTGAAGGAGACAGACCCAAAAAGTGAGAGTGAAGGACGCGGCACCGGCCGGGGGTGCAGGGGAGGGGGGAGGATGCAAAGGACTGAGCAGGGGATGCTGAGCCCCACACACCGCGGGTGGAGGAGCTCAAGGGCTGAACATGGGACAAATTGCACGGGAGCAGATGGGCACGAGGGCCACGTCACCAGGCCAGGTGTTCCCATGGCCCCGGGGCTCCCACCAGGAGCCCTGACCCTCCTGAACCCCCTGGCACCTGGCCGGGTGCTTCGCAGGGTGCTCTCCCTCCCCCTGGATTATCAGCCATGAATCCCTGTCGCAGGCACCTGGAGCTTTGATGCTCCCCCAGATCTACATAAACACGCAGATACTGATGCAAAGCTGAGCACGGACAAAATACTTAACACTTAAAACCCTTGTTACCCTCTAGCAGGGGGGTGGGAGGGAACGGAACTTAAAAGCCTTGCTGGGGAGAGCTGGCACTCCACGAGAGCTTTGCAGCCACACAAAAACCTGTCACCACGAGACCCTTGTCCGTGTGGGTCAGACCCTCGTGGCACAAAGAGCAGGGAGGCTGGAACCAGCCCTGGGCACCTGGAGGAGCCACCCGTGGCTTGGGGTGGCCCCATAGTGGGGGGACAGGGAGCCAGGACCACAGTGCTGGCTGGGTAAGCCAGGATCACCAGAGATTTTAGGATGGGTTGGTTTTTTTTTTTTACCCTCTGCTGCACATGGAGCTCCTTTCCCAGCTAAGCCCACTGCCCAGGCTCCACCACAACCACAGTTTGGTGAGGGGAGAGCAGGAAAAGCAGCCCCAGTGCTGAGCACCCAGACCTAATCACTGCAAACACCTCTCCAGTCTCCCACGGGTATTTTTAGCCCCCCCGAAAGTAACCAGCTTTGGGCAAAGTAGCATCAACACGGCAAGTTTTCTTAAAAACAAATCTGCTGCCACCTCCCCCAGAAAACAGAGCTAGAGGTTGCTGTGCTGTGCCTGGAGCAGGAGGGCTCTGAGGACACGGGGACCAGAGCTGCTGCCCCAGCTGACAGAGCCCATTTTTGATCTGAAGTATGAACTGAGCAAGAAAGACCCGTGGGCAGCAGCTGCAGACACCCCAGCAGCTCCTCCCTGCACACACACACCCCACAACTTCACCCGCGGAGCTGCAAGGCTGATCAGGTGACACCTGAGGGCAGTAAATTTGGATCTGTTCCCATTAAGGTTTCAGAGAAACACTTAATCTTATCTTAAAATATGCGAGTTTATCTGCAGCAAGTGCTTTGTTCAGTTACTCATTATTTAAGGCTTGCATATCATAATGTCACAATTGAGCTTAATTAGCAGATATTTAAATGCAGATACCACCGAGGGGGATTGGACAGACACTCTTTGTCTTTTAGGAGGGTCAGCTCCTTTTCAGGTCACCTCCTAATATGCAACCTGTTTCTTGGGGGTGCCTCCAGCCCCAGCACAGTGGCCACGAGCAGGACCAGGAACTCAGCTCCCTGCTCTGGGGGCCCAAGGTGAACACTCCCACAGCAAAACTGTTTTCTTTCAGATGAAAACTCCCCCCTCAGAACCGGGCAGGATCACTTCCAACCTCCCTGTTAACCCCCACTCTCTTCCCAAAGTTGATGTGAAGCCTTAAATCTGTGCCCACCAAGGCACAGAAAGCAGGGACAAGTGTAAAGCAGCACAAGGGCTTCAGCAGGGATCAAAAAAGCAGCAGACAACATGATAGCCAAGAACTCACTTGCATGCTGGAAGGGATCCGTGGCTCTGGGGAGCAGGAATTGCAGCCCAGGAGCTCAGGTTTTCCCTGGCAGTGAGAAGGCAGCTCAGGTCAGGACCCTCTGCAGCTCTCAGCTCCTGCTGCCTCCTCTGAACTAATTCCAGCCACCTCCACCTGCGGCCCCAGGGTGATTAAAAAAGCTGCAGCACCTGCACCTCGGGACAGCTGGGAACACCCCCCACAGCTCTGGCCATGTCTGATATCAGACCCAGAGCTGGAAACTTCCAGCAGGAGCTGCATGTGGAACACATGGACAGATGCCCCCCAGATGCTTGAGGCTCCTGGGCCACTGTCACCCCAGTCAGGGTGTCACTCTGGGGCTACACAGAGTGCAAAACTTCCTGCAAAACAGGCTGGAAGTTTCTTGCTGGAACGAACAAAAGGACAGAAGCCACATTTATTGCATTCATCTCCATACCAGGAGACTCAAAATGATTTTTATTTCTCCCTCGTATTGCATTTCCGTAACTTTTACAGTATTAAAATGATTATAACCAAAGCATAAAACTGGAAACAAAACCAATCATTGAGAGTGTCCCCTCTGGCACCCCCAGGCCCCTGGGCAGCAGGGCCGGTGCCCGCGGGGGAGGCTGAGGCTCAGTCCGTGTCTCAGGACACACCCCCGGCTCCAGGGAGGGAAGAAACTGCCTTTCCCGGGAAGCAGGAAGGCACTCAAGGCATGGGCTGCTGGTAAGCCTGGCTGGTGGGAATCCTCAAGACAAGGTCCTGGTTCTTCACTGGATCAGCACTCCCAGGGCACGTACTTTAGATGTCCATGTCAAACTGCTCCTCCTCAGCTGCTGGGAGGGACATAAACACCCACAGATAAGGCCTAAAAGCTTCTTAATAAATACCAAATATTTTACTGAAGAAAGAAGTCAGTTTTGCTTCAGAAATGTGGCTGCTGGGACATAAAAAAACTGCCCCCAGGCATCAACTTGGATATGAAAACCACCTTGTACTAGAAAAATAGAAGCTCTGCCCACAGAGGGGATTGTCCTCACAGACAGACAAGAGCAGCAGCAGAGAAGATGCCCTTGCATTTATTTTTATCCCTGAATTTCCTTGTAAAAAGGAATGTAAAGCATAACGTTGATGACAATCCCTGGTATAAACTTCTACACAGATGCAAGTTTCACAGCTCAGGCAGAGTGACAGGGTGGCAGGAATGACCCTTCCTGAGGACAGGGCTGGGATCCAGCACAGCCAGGGAATCCAGTGAAGCACCTCAGGTCACAAGTGGGGAATAAAAAGCAGTGAGCATCATTGACTCTGGGAAGAGTTTTGCTTAGAGTGAGTGTGGAAGCCAGCTGGTGAGCATTCAGACCTTTATTTTTAGAGAGAAGATAAACTCCACTGGGTACTTTCAGGTTGCTTCAGGAAGTGATCTCAGCTTTAATAAAAAAGCTGTTTTAAAAAAAGAAACAAAACTGTTGCTCAAGAGCAACAGTTGCTGCCACTGTCTGTAGTAAAGTGTTGATGTGCACCAAGTGGCCACTGATCTGTTCTCCCATGGACTGGCCTGTGCCTTGACCACCCCTGCAAGCTTCTGCTGAGCCCCTGAAGGCAGCATTGGACACTGGACAAGTGATATATTCAAAGCAGGATGACACCTGCCTCATCAATGGAGCCCAACGGATGTGTGCCCAGAACCCTGCACAGAATCCACGTGTGCAGCAATCTATGTAC